GGGGAGTGGGGGCATCTATGGGGTGGTGGCACCTCGAGGTGAGGTCCTGGGAGAGGAGAACAGAGGTGGTGGCATCTATGGGGTGGTGGAACCTCAAGGTGACATCCATGAAGGTCTGGGAGGGGAGGGCAGGGGTGGTGGCACCTGGGATGGTGGCATCTATGGGGTGGTGGGGACCTGGGGTGGCATCTGCAGAACATCTGGAGGAGATGGGAGCATCTATGGAGAGGGCACCTACAGGGTGGTGGCACCTGGGGTGGCATCTATGGGGCACCGGGAGGAGATGGTGGCACCTGGGGGTGGTGGCACCGGGAGGGAGATGGCGGGGGGAGGTGGCCTTGGGGTGGTGGCCCCCTCCATGTCCCCAAAGTGTCCCCAAAATGTCCCCTGACCTCATCCTTGAGCTGGGCCAGGAAGAGCGGCAGCAGATGCTCCACGGTGTTGTCCTTGCCCAGGATGGGGGACAGCCCCATGATGACCGAGGCCAGCGCCGACTTCACGTGTTGGTTGGCGTCGGACACCAGCTCCTGGGGACACGGCGGGGACGTGGGCACGGGGGGACACCACGGTTGGGGGGGGACACCACGGGGGGTCCCCGGGGCGAGGGGACGGGACGTGGGGACGTTCTGAGGTGGCCCCGGGATGTTCCTCCAGCCCAGAAGGTCCTCAAGGGTGGCCCACCACCCCAGAAGGTCCCCAAGGGAGTCTCCAGGGTGTCCCCATGACGTCCCACCACCCCAGAAGGTCCCCAAGATGTCCCCAGGGTGCCCCCATGATGTCCCATCACCCCAGAAGGTCCCCAAGGGAGTCCCCGTGACATCCCAACACCCCAAGATGTCCCCAGGATGTCCCCATGATGTCCCACCACCCCAGAAGGTCCCCAAGGGAGTCCCCAAGGTGTCCCCACCATGTCCCACCACCCCAGAAGGTCCTCAAGGGAGTCCCCAGGGTGTCCCCACCATGTCCCACCACCCCAGAAGGTCCCCAAGATGTCCCCAGGGTGCCCCCATGACGTCCCACCACCCCAGAAGGTCCTCAAGGGAGTCCCTGTGACATCCCACCACCCCAAGATGTCCCCAGGGTGTCCCCACGACATCCCACCACCCCAAGGCACCCCCACACCTTGACACAAACCAACGTTCACCCCGTGATGCCACCACCCCCGTGTCCCCCCCCACGTTCCTCCCACCCCACGACGTCCCCACGGGGTCCCACCACCCCACGACATCCCCACGGGGTCCCACCACGCTACGACGTCCCCACGATGTCCCCATAGAGTCCCACCACCCCATGACGTCCCCATGGGGTCCCACCACCCCAAGCTGTCCCCAGGTGTCCCTCACCTTGATGCAGGGCAGGATCTGGCCCATGATGACGGCCTCCCGGCAGTCGGGGGACAAGTTCTCACAGAACTCTGGGGGAGGAGGGGACACGGTGACACGGGGTGGGGACACGGGGGACCCCGGGGAGCACCCCTGGGGGACGTGGGGACACGGGGGCAACCAGGGACCCTCCTCGGGGACCTGGGGTTGGTCCTTGGGGACACCAAAGACCATCCTTGGGGACACCAGGGACTTGAGGACCCTCCTTGGGGACACCAGGGACGTTCCTCGAGGATATGGAGACCTGGGATTGGTCCTTGGGGACACAAGGGACTTTCTTTGGGGATGAGGGGACCTGGGGTTGGCCCTTGGGGACACAAGGGACCTTCTCTGGGGACGTGGGGACCCAACGACCCTTCTTAGGGACCTGGGGTTGGTCCTTGGGGACACAAAAGACCATCCTTGGGGACAGCAGGGGCCTGAGGACCCTCCTTGGGGACACCAGGGACGTTCCTTGAGGACGTGGGGACCTGGGGTTGGTCCTTGTGGCCACGAGGGACCTTCTTTGGGGACGTGGGGACCCAAGAACCCTCCTTGGAGACACAAGTCCCATCTCTGGGGACGTGAAGGGTCTCCAGGAACCCCCCTTGAAGACCATCTCTGGGACGCGGTGACGCGGGGGGAGGCCAGAGGGGACCGTGTCGGGGGGAGGTGACACCGAGGGGGGGGTGGTGGCATCTGCTGACCTTTGACCTTGTGGGAGGCGGCCGCCCGCACCTCGGCCTCGCAGTCCTTCATCAGGCTCTGGAAGGCCCCCACCAGGTCCGTCTTGGTGATCTCGGGGCCCACGGCGCGTTGCAGCTGGGGGTGAAGGGCAAAGGTCACCCAAGGTCACCCCTGGGGGGTGTCCCCAAGGTGTCCCCAAGGGGTGGCCCCCAACCCTCCCCCCCAACATCCCTCCCCAACGTGTCCCCCCAAAGTATCTCCTCCCAGCATCCTCAGATGTCTCCAAGGAGATCCCAGAACATCTCCAGGTGGCCTCAAGGGGGGTCTCAAACGTGTCCCCAACGTGTCCCTCTCAAGTATTCCCCATGGTGTCCCCAAACGCCTCTGAGGGGTCCCCAAACCCTCTCCAGATGCCCTCAGGGGGATCCCCATTGTGTCCCCTCAATGTATTCCCCCATGGTGTCCCCACAGGTGTCCCCAAACGCCTCTGAGGGGACCCCAAACCCTCTCCAGATGCCCTCAGGGAGCTCCCCAACGTGTGTCCCCAACGTATGTCCCCATGGTGTCCCCACAGGTGTCCCCAAGGGTCCCCAAACCCCCTCCAGATGCCCTCAGGGTGTCCCCGTGGTGGCCCCACCT